AGCCCGGGTTCCATCCTCAGCACCACATACCAACAAAGATGTTGTGTCTGCCGAGAACTAAAAAATAAATATTAAAAATTCTCTCTCTCTCTCTATCCTCTCTCACTCTCTCTTTAAAAAAAAAAATGAATATTAAAAATTCTCTCTCTCTCTCTCTCCTCTCTCAAAAAAAAAATCCATCTATCCTATCTAATATCTGATATTCCTTGTGATGTAGTAGCTAATAGTTCATATCATAGAGCAGGCAATGAAAATTATAGAACTGTTCTTCAAAGATCTATAAATTCAAGGTGAAGAAAGGGTACTTACAAAAGTTAACTCATATACTACATCTTTAGCCTTCTAGTGGCTGGCATCATTCTTTTTCAAATTTAATAAACAACCTCTTAAAAATGTTTTTTTCAGACTATTCAAAATAGTATTTCATACAGTACTGTTAAGTTTTTTGCCTTATAAAGGTGGTCAGAAACATCTCAGAAAGCTGGAAGGCTGCTGACACAAGGTATCTAGTTTCATTAGCAACAAAGAAAGTCTGAAAAATCAGGAGGCTGACAATAAAGTGGAAACGATGGTATGACAAAAGGAAAAGGCAGTTCTCAAGTATGCACCTTATGAGCTAGATTCCTCCACTAATGTTTCTCTGTTTTCATCTTGTCAGTATAGAAAAATCTATATATTATATAGAGTGGAAGGCAAAATCAATATGCTCACATAGCAGCAAGTATTACACAATCTTTGACTCAAATAACTATTACTTTAACTATCTGATATAAAGAAATAGGCTTGTACTATTTGAAGATAATTGTAACTTTGGAAAATGAAAATATGACAACTGGACATGTTGCCTTTCCCTTATACTATTAACTACTGTCATTAATGAACTTTTTATTTTATTTTATTTTATTTTAGCAGTAATGAACTATTTTAAATGACACATACACAGCTCATACATACCTAATAATCTGGTTTCTAAAAAGCTTCCACTTATACAATTTGAATATACATTAATCAAATCTAGCTCGTGGGAGCTAGAAATTAGTGTTTGTGTGTTGGTTTTAAATGATGTTATTTTCCACAAGTTCTGAAATATGTCTAGTAACATCATGGATATGTTTAAAAATGAAGAAATTAAGATAAGTTTTTTTTTAATTAATAAAAATAAAATATGGTATGGGGAAAAAATAGTTAAAGTCAGAAAATCTTGCTTTTGACTCAAAGCACTACTACTACCTTGGGCAATTCATATAACCTCACTGTGCCTTTCTCCATCTATCATTTGAGGCAATTTTATTAAGAAGTGATGAGCAGTAAAGCATCTGCAGTGTTTTTGTTAAGAAAACCTAGGACATATCTTCACATAACTTAAGGATCATGATAGATGCAAATGTGAAAAAGACTTTCAGAAACTGTCTCAACTGATTTTCACAACAGCCCCCATAGAGTAGATAAGTAGTACCATTCCAATTTAAGGAAAGTAAAGCAAAGACAGGTTGACATCTTCTAGGTCACATACCAGCTGCTGAATTAAAAGTAGGACCTGAGTCTTAAGGGTTCCCAGTCTAACCTCCACTCTAATACCATCTCCAAGCTCCTTCCAACTTTAAAAATTAATTCCAAATTATTCACAAATTCAATCACAAACTGATTTATCAATCTGACTTTAATATAAAAGCTTTCTTGCTTGCACTGCATGAGCTACCTGCATGCCCTCAACTGTAACTGAAATTGATACCTGTCAAATTTACTGCTAATGCTGCATACTTACAAAATGATAAAATGTAGTCCAAGTTCCCATTTACAGCTTCACTTTTCAATTCAGCTTGAGAAAACGTATTACTTTCAGGTAGACATTCATTTTTCTAGGGATAAAGCATGTATCAGCAATAATATGCCTCAGTTAACAATATTTTAACACATCATTCAAATTTCCTACATTCTGAATATTGCTTTTTATCACCATATTCTGATAATATAGCTTTTAAAAATGATCTTGTAGAACAATATAGAAAACAAATGAATTTTAGCAAAAGTTCTGTAGTAGAGTTCCAACATTTTAAGTTGAATGCTTAACTTAAATATCAGTTACACATAGTTTTCTTTCTAGGAAGACTTTACTATTGAAAACTAATATTCCCTCACTCAGGACAAAACAAAAATTCAATGCATAGAACTAAATGATATTTTGGGACATATCATGACATAAAGATTAAACATATTTAGCTGGGCATGGTGGTATGCACCTGTAAACCTAGCAGCCTGGGAGGCTGAGGAAGAAGCATCATCAAGTTCAACGCCAGCCTCAGCGATTTAGCAAGGCCCTAAACAACTCAGCAAGATACTGTCTCAAAACAAAAATTAAAAAGGGCTGAGGGTGTGGCTTAGCACTCATGGGTTCAATCCAAAGTACAAAAAGGGGGGAAAAAAAAGATTAAACATATTTAACTCCAAGTAGTTCTTCACTTGGTGCAATATTATTTATTTAACAATTTAAGTACAGGAACAAAATCGAGCTCAAATATACTTATAGAATCATTTTACAATAGCACAAGATCAAAAGCATCTGAATAATAAATAATAGACAATGAATAAAAATAAATTGATATATCCATACAGGAAAATAGTATATAGGCATAAAAAAATTGTGAAATTACATATTGGTATGGAAAGGTATGAAATGGAAAAAAATAGTTTGCTAGATAATATGAATAATATAATCTAATTTTTGCTAAGAGATTTCTAAAGCATACTCATATGTAAAAGAATACATATGTCGACTGCATGACCAATATGATTCTGCAACATGTACACTCAGAAAAATGAGAAATTATATCCCATCTGATTCAAATGTATGATATTTCAAGGTCATTGTACCGTCATGTGTAACTAATTAAAAAAAAAAAAACATACATATATCAAGCAAAGTAAGAACAGTGGATGAGTTGTGTGGTTTTATCAATTAACAGCATTTTATATTTTAATCAATGACTGTGTATTATATAATTTTTAAAAAATGATACATATATTTGTTAATGATTAACTAATGATACCATACCATCAGCAATAGCAATACCATCAGCCCTACTAACCATTTAACAGAACTTATTTCTGAGCCAAAAATACTTAACACTGAAATTTCAGTAAGGAAGGAAAAAGAGTTAAAATGAGAATAAATATAAGTAAATTTAGGAGAAACTTCAAAATCATACCTCCCTAAAATACCAATAAAACACAGGCACAGTGGTACATGCCTGTAAACTTGAGAGGCTAAAGTGGAAGGGCTGCTTAAGCTCAGAAGTTCTAGACCAGACTGGGTAACATAGCAAGACCTCATCTCAAAAAAAAAAAAAAAAAAAAAGAAAGAAAGAAAGAAAAAGAAAATGGAATCTTGGGTTATATTTCTTTCCTTCTTTCTTTTTGGTACCAGGGATCAAAATCAGGTTGCTTAACCACTGAGCCACATCCCCAGCCCCTTTTTATTTTTTATTTTGAGACAGAATCTCACTAAGTAACTGAGGGCCTCACTAAGTTGCTAAAGCTGGCTTTGACTTGTAATCCTCCTGCTTCAGCCTCTTGAGTCTGGGATTACAGCCATGCACTACCATGCCAGGCTTGGGTTATATGTCTGCAAAGAAAGAAAACATTTAGGGAAATGTTTTAAAATTATTTTAACAGTAAAATACCTATGGCATAGGCTAAAAATACTCTGCTAAGAAATTAGGAGGAAAGGTAAAGACACTCAAGATATAAACACTAACATTTAGAGGATTGTAATTATGTAATTATTTCTAGGAAAGGAAGGAACACTGCAACATTATTAGAAAAATCAAGGCATTATGTGAATAACTGCCTAGGTAACAGATTTTTTGAACAAAATACTTTCTATTAAGTACTTGCTGCTCTGCCATGCTGTTCCTAATTGTATAGCACTTTGTTTTCAAAGTGAAAAATGCAATCCTTGCACTGTCCAAGTCAATTTCTTCAAGCACCCCTTTATCAATGCCTTGCCTATTCTGGTGGAGATAAGAAGTAGACAGCAGAAAAATGTTTTGAAGTCAAACAAAGATTATTACAAGAAAAAAACACAAGACTGATAAATATATTATGGATGCATTTATGAAAATTCATATAGAAATGAAGAAAGATTCAAAAACTGAAAATTATAATTGCATTTTAGGCTGGGACTGAGGAGTGAATATTGTTTTACTTTAACTTTTGCTGATAATGGCATATTGTCTTTACCAAAAAAAACAAAAATGCTGCTTTGCCTTTCTAAGTTAAACCACTATATATACTAGCTAATATTTTTAGAAAGCTTTAAAAAATTGGGCTGGGGATGTGGCTCAAGCAGCAGCGCACTCGCCTGGCATGCGTGCGGCCCGGGTTCGATCCTCAGCACCACATACCAACAAAGATGCTGTGTTCGCCGAGAACTAAAAAATAAATATTAAAAAATTCTCTCTCTCTCCTCTCTCACTCTCTCTTTAAAAAAAAAAAGAAGATTGAGAAAAGGAAAAACAACAACAGCCTGTAAGTTTAAAAAAAAAAAAATTATTCACATGACCACTTTTAGTTCCTAGCTCAACTATGTCTTCTTTTGGTGACTATCAAATATTAAGGTGGAAAGACATTCTCCTCAATTACCCAATTAAAACTACACTTGTACTCACCTGTAAAACAGCACGTACTGACTTTATACTATCAAAGGCTGGAAACACATAATTTACATAAGTCTCCTGATCGGGATTTATTCCCATTTCATGCATTCCTTTGAGGACATCAATTATACCTGAAAGATAAAATACAGAAGCACAGAGATGAACCTGGAAGAAATTAACAAAATGTCAGAAAGTTCAGTTCAATTATTTTCTGAATCATAATGCAGGGAAATTACTTAGCATTTTGTTTGTCTAAAAGAGAAAGCTGAAAAGCTAGGAAACTGGGAGGTATATGATGATAAATTTTAAAAATTATTTTTTTATCTCACTCTATTAAGTCAGTAGCGAGTGCTAAGAAAATATCCTTAAAATTATGAGTATTAGAAAACTTAAAACCATTAAACAACATGCCTAACATTTCTAGCACCCCAACAGAATGGATCATAAAACATCATTGCTATCATGCAGGATGATGGACTCACACAATAAAACATTTGCAATGGGAAGGGCTTGGGGAATGGAATAAGGGGACTTGTCAAACACAAAACCAGTTTCAAAAAGTGTTTTTGATTAAGCATTTAAGTAAAAAGTACTCTAATTGTTACCATCCTCTGACTTCATATTTTATAATATAAAAATAAAAAATAAATAGAGAACAAATGATCTAATGAATTATTGTCTTACTATATTTAAAACCTATTCAAAGCACTGGTTATGTAACTTAGTGCAAGAGTACGTTCATCACATGCGCAAGCCCCTGGGTTTGATGCCCAGTGCCACAAAAACAAAACTAATTTAAAAATCTAGTAAAATATTCCTTTCCATTCCCCACTCACAAAAACATATTTTAATAACTTCTTAAAAGATCATTCCATATTTTCCAAGCTACAGTTAGCTTCAAATAGTACAAACTGTTTTCTTTATATCAGATTCAATTAATTCTATAAAACTAATAACAGTTTAATAAAAAGGACATATTTGTTTACCTTTTTAAAACTTACTACTTTAGTTGCATTACTTTCATATTATTAAAACTTCTCCTAAAAGTTTTTGTTTCTGAAATACAATGTCCCCTACAGAAAAATTACATATCTAAAAAATTTTATTATATAATGTGCTCTAGTACAAATGATTATAAGTTCCCACTGAGTACAGAAAGATAAGGTAAGTTTAACTACATTATGAAACATCTTCACATTTGTTTAGATAAGATTCAGATTATAGATCAGAGTATTTTAACTTTCGAAGAGTTTTTATTTTTTTTTAAAGAGAGAGTGAGAGAGAGAGAGAATTTTTAATATTTTATTTTTATTTTTTTAGTTCTCAGCGGACACAACATTTGTTTGTATGTGGTGCTGAAGATCAAACCCGGGCCGCACGCATGCCAGGCGAGCGCGCTACCGCTTGAGCCACATCCCCAGCCCATTGAAGAGTTTTATACTCACATAAAAAGTAGAAACAGCCCAATGAAACAGAATAGAGAGCCCAAATATAAGCTTACACATACACAGTCAACTAATTTTTGACAAAGACACCAAGAATGCACAATGAGGAAAGAATAGTTTTAGAATAGTGCTGGAAAAATTAGATATCTACAGGCAAAAGGATGAAACTGGACCTTTACCTGATGGTATACACAAAAATCAATTCAAAATGGATGAAGGAATGTTAGTAACAATTATCAAACCATCAATAATGACCAATAATCAAAGATTAAAACTGTAAAACTCTTAGAAGAAAACTCTGGTCTTGGCAATGATTTTTTTTCTGGATTTGACACCAAAGCAAAGGCAACAAAGGTAAAACTCAATAAGTGAGACTGCAACAAACTAAAAAATTTCAGGATGCCAAAGAAAGCAATCGACAAAATGAAAAAATAGCTACAGAATGAGAGAAAATATTTGCAAACCACTTATCTGATAATGGTATATATGTCAATATCTACAGCCATATCTATGTGTATCTCTATCTATCTACGGATCTACATATTCAGGTCCTTTGCCCATTTTTCAACTGGGTTGTCTCTTTTTTTGCCATTTAGTAATATGAAATATATACATAGACATATATATTTACTACTATATATAGAGAGAGACACTACTATACATATATATGTATACTATAAGTAGATCTCATACTACTGAATGGCAAAACCCAGACAACCCAATTAAAAAACGGGCAAAGGACCTGAATATAGATTTTTTTCAAAAGAAAGCATAAAATGGCCAGCAGGTTTATGAAAAAATGTTCAACGTCACTGAATATCAGGAAAATACAAATCTAAACTATGATATCACCTCAAACCTATGAGAATGACTATTACCAGGCTGGGGTACAGCTCAGTGATAAAGTGTCTGCCTAGCGTGTGCGAAGCCCTGGGTTTCATTCCCTACACTGAAAAAACAAAACCAAATAAAAAAACCCAGAATGACTATTATTAAAAAGGTAAAAGATAACAAACGCTAGTAAGGATGTGCAGGAAAGGGAATCTTAGTACACTGATGGTAGGGATATAAGCTGATTTGGACATTATGGAAATCAGAATGAAAGTTCCCCAAAAGCTCAATAATAGAAGTACCACATGTCCCAGCAATCCTGCTTCTACATAAATTTACAAAGGAAATAAAAACAGTATCTTGAAGAGATGTCTGCATGCCATGTTCACTGCAGCAATATTCACAGTAGCCAAGATGTGGGAACAATATTCTGTTGACAAATGAATGGATAAAGTACAAATAAGTACACGACCAAAGGAACTCCATATTATATACAACCACGTAATGGAATCCTAACTGGAACAAGTTACACTTTATTCTACTTATATATAGTATGTCAAAATATATATCTAGAAAGAACAAGTAAAAAAGAAACAAAGAAAATGTGGTGTAATAATCTGGCATAGTGGCACACTAACATACTACCAGCCACTTGAAGGATAAAGCAGGAAGATCCTGAATTTGAGGACAGCCTGGACAATTTAATAAGACCCTGTCTCAAAATAAAAATTTCTGGGGACTGGGGATGTGGCTCAAGCGGTAGCGCGCTCGCCTGGCATGCGTGCGGCCCAGGTTCGATCCTCAGCACCACATACCAACAAAGATGTTGTGTCCGCCGAGAACTAAGAAAAAATAAATAAATGTTAAAATTCTCTCTCTCTCTCTGTCCCCCTCTCTCTCTCACTCTCTTTAAAAAATAAAAATAAAAAATAAATAAAAATTTTAAAAAGCCTTTGGGATGTAGGTCAGTGGTAAGAGCACTTGCCTAACATGCACAAAGCCCTGGTTCAATCCCCAGTATTGCAAAAAAGGAAAACTAAAATGTAATATACAAGGGACAGCAGGGTGGGACATTATGCAGCCTTAAAAAAATAAAGAAATCCCATCATTGGCAACAACATGGATAAACATGTTTGTTTAGATAATCTGTGTTGCTAGCATTTTCAAAGTACATAAATTTCTAATTGAAACTAAAACAGGCTTAAGATAGCCTTGGAATCACACTGAAAGCCCAGCTAAGATCACTCCCTCAGGCACCCTTCACTAACCATAGTCAGATGAAAAGAAAGAAGCACTTTTTTAAAAAGAAAGGAAAAGATAGTGGGGTTGAGAAGTGCATGCCTGTAATCATAGCAACTTACAAGGCTGGGGCAGGAGGATCCCAAGTTCAAGGCTAGCCTCAGCAATCATAGCAACTTACAAGGCTGGGGCAGGAGGATCCCAAGTTCAAGGCTAGCCTCAATTATATTGAGGCTATAATAAATAAAAACGGCTAAGGGGCTGGGGTTGTGGCTCAGTAGTAGAACACTCACCTAGCACTTGCAAAGCCCTGGGTTCAATCCTCAGCACACATAAAAATAAATAAAATAAAGGTATTGTGTCTAACTACAACTAAAAAAAATTTTTTTTTAAATGACTAGGGATGTAGCTCAGTAGCAAAGAACCCCAGTTCAATCCACAGTACAAAAATAATGTAATAAAAGATGATTGAGCTGAGCTGATATATCTATACAAAGAATGTAACTCCCTCCTTAAAACAAAGAAAGATAAAAATAATCTAACATTAAGTCAGAGGATTTCTCAGAGGCTGAGGCAGAAGGATTATGAATTCAAACCCAGCCGTAGCAACTTAGCAAGGCCCTAAGCAATTCAGCGAGACCCTGTCACTAACAAAATATAAAAAGGGGTGGGGATGTGGCTCAGTGGTTAAGCACCCCTGCATTCAATCCCTGGTACCAATAAATAAATAAACAAGAGGATTCCAAACCTCTAGGAACTCAGTAATTTAACCTAAGATAAATAATCTAAGAAAATTATTGCAATGTACCATGAGTAAAGTTTCCATTCAAGAAGTCTAATAAGAATTAAAATAGTTGAACCATTCTGGGAAAGAGAGGGTTCACTTGAACAACTTCTAGTGACTACAACTGCCTGCTTCATGGGATTTTTACTTCTTCCCAATGCACTCACTTTATTAGGAGGTAAAGTCTTACTTTTTTGAAAAGTAAGTGACCTGTATTCTGACACTTCATTCAACTGGCTTTAGGTTTTCTGATCACCCCTTCCTTATATATTTTCCCCTCTTCATGTTCTTATTTTTATGTTTTCCAACTATCCCAAAGGCTGTACATCCCTATTCATTCTGGGTATTTCCTCTCATATAGGCAAGATGCTGAAAATGTTATCACTCTAAGTGGTGACTTTTCCATTTATGCCACAATGAAAAATACTAGTAAGATGAGCCATGAGGAAGTCATTTTAAGAATCTTTCTTATGGCACATACCTGCAATCCCAGTTACTGAGGAGGCTGAGGCAATAAGATCACAAATTCAAGTTTAAGGCCACATTTAACTTAGCAAGACCCTGTCTTAAAATAAAAACCCCCAGTAAAACACACACACACACACACACACACACACAAAGAATCTTATGGTGATTGCTACATTCGCAACCAGAATATTTGATCAGAAATTTGATCATCCTACTATTGAAAATGCTTCTTTGATTTCTTGAAGGGTTTTATTTATTCATTATAAAATACTCCCACATATTCTCCATCACTAAAGCCATTATCTTCTTCTTTTATTTCTATGAGTACATATGTATATGACTTTCACTGGACAAAGATCAAGTTCCTTACATCAATAAGAATGTTACTTTTTTCTACAGAAACCATATCGAATACATATAGCCATTTCCCTGTTAAATGAAAGAAATAAAAAAGAAAAACTATAGAATGGAAAACTATAGAATAGAATGATCTTCTAGGACTTCCTACAAAGAAGAAAAAAATGGAACTATAAAACAATTAACAACCTCTTATATTCTTAATTCATTATCTATCAATGAAGCATAAGCATCAGTATATTTCCACATAAAATTTTTATTGAGTAAAATATGCCACCTCTTTTTAAAATGTCCTTAATAAGGGCTGAGGGTACATCTCAGTGGTGGAGTGCTTGCCTAACATGCACAAGGCCCTGGGTTCAATCCATAACATCACACACACACAAAAGTCCTTAATGTAAAAATTGGTACCCAATTTCTAAAAGATGACTAAGAATTTTTATAAAAGAAATACATTATAATATTTACAAATGTCTAAAACGGAGGCATTATTGTGTAAAAAGAATACTTGAATAAGACAGAAATCCTCCATTCTAATCCCAATATTATTGACAGCTAGATGGAAAACCTAAGGTCAGTCACTGAATCCCCTCTGTGGCTCTCAGTTCCTTCCTTAATACAATATGAGCTTTCAAAAAAGCACCTTTGAAATCTAAATTCTGCAATTCTATGAAAAGATGGATTCAAGATAAAGCCCATTTTCTACTAGTTCAACTCACTATAACTATAGAAATAAATTACCTAAATTCTTTTATGTTTACTAAGTAGCAATAATGTCATAACCAATTCAAGTCTAGATACCCTGTTATGATTAGAAAAGCAAATTTACCTGATAAACACACTTCAACGGGATATCAAAATTATTTTCATACCTGTGTAAAGGTAAACAATACATGCCTAAAAAGTCTGATGCAATGATGTAAACTTTCTGTGGTTTAAAGATACTGGGTTAAAGGTTACCTCTTGTAACTTTCAAAACTGAAGAATAGACAAAGAGTTAATCAACTAGCATATTGTTTTCACAAAGATTTTTCTAAAAAGGATTTAGAGACTTTTATAGCCAGAAACAATTAGGGAATACTTGTTTCACTATTTCCTTTAAACCAGAAGACGGTTATATATTTAAAATAAAATTGCAATATGAAAGTCTGCTAAAAGCACTTTTTTTGTTGTTTGTGCATTTTGTTTGTCACCCAATGTCACACTAACAACTCTGCATCTCATTCCAAAGCACATTATACTGTGAGATAAAATGAAAAAGACCATTTTTTGTTTCCCCAAGGGGGAAGTACTTCTGTTAAAAGCATCTTTTTATAAGACTACTCTTTCTGAATTACCAATAATGCAAACCAAAGAATTAGATACTGTACTCTAAAATTTAATATTTGTTCAATTCTTATTCATATCCTATAGACATCCCATGTGTGCAAGGGAAAAGTATGCTAAATGCTTAAACGTACTTAAGTACCTGAAAGATTGAACATTTCTGTCCTTCAATCAGCAGGCTGTCAGGTCACAAGCACTCATTTTGCAATAAAAGTTTTCTTGCCTTTTCTATTATTGTAATCAAGCTCAGTTCAGAAGAAAAAAGACTGGTCCACAAAGAAAATGGTGCACTTCTTGTTTTCATAAACCTGATTATGTATAACTTTATAAAAGGATAGACAAACTACTTTCAAACACTATTAAAGATTTCAAAAAAAAAAACTTAATGAAATGTTAAAAATCAAAATGAGATGAATTAAAAAATGAAATTAAGATGAAAGAAATCTTATGTTTGTTTTTTAGTTTGTTTGTTTGTTTGTTTTTGTGGTGCTGGGAATTGAACTCAGTCTTATACATGTGAGGCAAGCACTCTACCAACTGAGCTATATCCCCAGCCCTATGTTTGTTTATTTTAATGCTCAGAGACTTTACTATGATTTAACATAATTCTATTTCCTCCACAAGATCTAACATTGAGGAGTAAGTATGCTTTCCCAAAGAACTGAATTAGATGTGGGTACAAATCAGTAAAAGACAAAATTTAACCTTGAACATTTTTCTTCTTCTGATGTCCAGCTAGCAATGGCCAGAAATAGTGAGCTCTGACAGGAAAACCTTCTTCTTTCATGGCCTTCATTAAAGCTTTTACCAAGTCTGAAAGACATAACATAAAACATCACCAATCTACCTCAGCAAAACCTGCTGGTGTTCCTTTTAACTAAAAATAGTAGAATACCTGTTTTATTGGCTAGTAAAGCACAATGGAGTGTGAACTGCAAAGGAGACATATGCATCCTGGCTTCCTTTAACTTCTTGCAGTAGTTGGTTAGCTTCTCTGCAGGCTAGAAAAAAGTAAGTCACCACATCACTAGATTGGCAAATAACCCACCTCTGGACATTCTGCAAATATTCTACCACTTTGAGGATGAAAAATTTGAACCTCTCATCCTCTTTCTACCCCAAAATCTTGCAAGACAAAAACAAGGTTTTTATTACATTTACAATTAGTCTAATTTTATAAACCTTCTATTTTAAAGAATATTACTACCAGTAATACCATCTACAAAGTAAAAATGGACAAGATACCGTATCCATAGTCACACAGTGACGTAAAAAGAAACTGCCAAAGTCATTTGGGCTGTCTTCTCTTGATATAGGGCATGCTAATAAAATCTGAAATGCTGTATCTTCCAGCTTTTCAGTGACTAAAAGCAAAATGATGTTCATTGCATCTGGGAAGAAAACAAAGATATCTTTTGTTACTAAACTGAATGATATTTTCACCCTACAACCAGTACTAAAGACAAAATTAGGAATTCCAAACATCAAAAGGATATGTCTGCCTAATAAATAAACATTTCCAAAAAAAAACATCTCCATGTACTCATTAACTCGTGTTTATTAATTTATTAAGCTTTTTAAAAAGTCCTATGATCACTTACCACAATCTATTGTTACAGAATGCCCTTTCCAACAAATAAGAAATAGCAATTCAGGTTTATAAAAAAAATAATGTAGCGGGTGGGGTTGTGGTCAGTGTAAAGTACATGCCTACCATGTGTGAGGCACTGGGTTCCATCCTCAGCACCACATACCAATAAATAAAAATAAATAAATACAGGTACATCAACAACTAAAAAGTATTTTAAAAAAACAATGTAAATAAAAATGTTTATATTACCTGGAATATATCTTCTTTCATAGGTAATTTTTTCCAAAATTTCTGAGACATACTGAGGATATCCAGCTTTACTAAAGCTCAAGATAATTTGCAATAAATCACGGTCCATAAGGTAAACTTCAGACTTATCCACCTTCTCCAGAGTCTACAAACAGTTCCAGAAATTAGAACAAGTTAGAAATCAGAATTTTAAATTTAAGTAAATTAAAATACCAAGATTCAATAAATTAGGAACAAAGTTTTGGGACTTCTTTAATAAAGCAGGAAATACTCTATTTGAACAATTGTTATATATATAATCAAGGTATCAAACTAAGAATTTTTCTTAAATACTGCTCTCTTCAAGGAGACATCTTTAAAAATAGTGCTACAACCTCCTTGCACACATGATGTTCATGTTTATTTATGTGAGTCATACCTGCTTAACATGGTCAATGTCACCCTTCTCAGCATATGCATTCAGTAATGCTAGGAATGTGTCTGGACCAGGTTCTATTCCAGCATCTTTCATCACAGTGAGAATATTTTCTGCATTCTCCATATCTCTAAAAGTTAATTCAAAGAAAATAAAACAGATTACTATAATATTTCCAAATACAATTATTCAACCTAAAATATATTACCTATACTATTTGAAATTGTGATATTGATAAAGGACAAATGCATGTTAAACTAGTTCTACATTTCTAAAATAACAAAGATCATAAACATTAAGAAATTTTTCAGGTAATTCCTCCCTCTAAAAAACCAAATTATGTAATAGTTACATAAACATTAAATAATGTAGCCTCTTATAGTTAGTATGACTTGCATTTAATTTAACTTTTAATAATAACATTTAATAAATTACTCATAAAAATAAAAAAAAATTTTTTCCAGGAGAAAAAAAAAATTCTCCAGAGCAACTACTAAACTTTACAAATTTAATTACTCCAGATTTTTAAAACTGAATATTTTCAATGTTTAATGTTTAAAACAAATTATAAGAGCAATTTTTAAAAATGTAATAAGTACTAATTCTACAGATTTTTTCTGAAGATATAAACATGTTCTATGAATTTTCTACAATTTTTTTTTTTAATAACTTAAACATTGAATAAGAATGAAAATCTTGAGATGAACATTACCCGGCTCTTGCATGCCCTGTAACAAGAGCACTGAACACTGCCTCTGTGACTGGAAGATCCTTAGTTTTCATAAATCCAAGAATCTTGCTGCAATAAGAGAAATGAAGACACTTCTTGATTGCCAAAAACCACTTTTTACATGTATAAATTAAGCGTTCAGTTATTTTCAATGTAACACCACATGTTTACTTATAAAGTGAAATCTGACCCCCTTTCATGAAATCCTAATCCTTAAAGTATCAATAATCTTGAAGTATTCGTGTTGTAATTTTCTGAAAATCTGATTGTTTGTTCTACATTATTAATTAACCTTTAAAATTTAATAAGACATTTGGTTAAAAATAAAACTGTATTTCAAATTCCTTTTATTTCCCAAGCCTTCAATACAAAAGTGGCAAAATTTTACCTAAGCAGTAATATTTTACAACTGATTTTATATGAATCAGTGGGATTCCTAGTTTTATAAGTGAAGACAGTTAAAAAACTAAGAACATTTCTCTAAGGAAAAAAAAGTAAAGACACCTTTATATCTCAATAATTTTATACTTGTGCTCTAAAACAACATATTTGTAATTAAAACAGATTATTCATCTTGTCCTCTTAAACAATTTTACATTTTATCTAAGTCATATTACCAAAATGTGTAATATTAAAATATTTCTGAAATAACTATCCTTATTAAGAACTAAGAGAAAATAAAATGAACATACTCCAGGTTTACAAAATTTATAAATTGGTTTGCATAAACCTACATTTATAGAGATCCATACCTGGCACCTTCAATATCTCCTACATTACAGTAAGCAGCAATCAGCCTCTGGTATGTCACCTGTCAATGAAATGGGCTGGTGAATTTTTTTCCCCTGGGCAAAAGAAATCCAAAAAGTTGGTATGGCCAACCAATATTTACCATAATAACTACCTACTCGATTTGGCTGAATGTTTGCTTCCTCCATTTTTGCCAAGAAATCAGTAGGTGAGAATTTATATTCATTTTGAAGATAAACTTTAAGTAAAGCATTGTAGTGACTCACATCATACACAGTGCCTACAAAGAAAATTTAAATGAAATTTTTAATCATGACTTAACAATTTAGAAAAGCATTTAAAATCACATCCTTGTCACAATGGAAATCATGTGTACCCAAATTTATCAATTTAAAAAAAAGGTAAAATTAACACTGTAGCATTTCACTCAGATAATATTAACACTTAACCCATCTATACAGATATCTTGTGAGAACATAGCAAGCTAAGCCAATAAGACATAATTACTGAATTGCTATACAGTTATAAGTAACTGCCTATTCAGATATTAAAAGGTCTATTACTTATGAAGCATAGTATCATCTTCCTGTTAGAAAATGCTAACAATACATATTTATTTATTTATTTAGATATAAGAGATTGAACCCAGGTTTACTTCTACCACTGAACCATATACCCAGCCCTTTTTATTGAGAGACAGGGTCTCCCTAAGCTAACTAGCCTGGCAGTGAACTTACAATCCTCCTGCCTCAGCCTCCCAAGTTGCTGGACTACACATGGGCACCATCACACTTGGCCAACAATACCTCTATATTTAAAAATAACTTGAAGGGCTGGGGTTGTGGCTCAGCAGTAGAGCGCTTGCCTAGCTCGTGAGAGGCGCTGGGTTCAATCTTCAGCACCACATAAAAATAAATAAAAATAAAGGCATAAAATAAATAAAAGTAACTTGAAACCTTTTCTATATAAAGCAGTTATTGATAGACTACAATTGTAGTTCTTTTATACAGATAAATGTACTGGCAATTTTTATTATTTCTTTATTAGGCCACTAAAAGCCTTTGTTTGAAGGAACTACTCCATCCCTTGTTGCTGATTATCATTTTTAGTCAACCTGCCTTATTTACCTGTATTCCAATGCCCTTCTTTGGCTTCTCTCTGTGTCTGTACTGCCTAAGACCATGTCAATTAGGGCTACCATTCAGCCTTACCCTCTCCATTCATGACATCATAGTCATCCCATCGATTTAGGCTAACACGTTTCACTAAATTTTCATGAATTAAATTCCATACCCTTATTCAACTGCTAGTGGTCTCAGTCTGTGGTCATTATCTGGTGTCAGTTCATGAGATTCTAGGCAGCTGAGAGCTGAGACCTATTACTTTCAGGAGGCAAGGGAGGGTGTTGAACCTAAGGACTTTCTACCACTGAAGTACATCCCTGGCCCTTTTTGTTATATTGAGACAGGGTCTCAGTATCTACAAAGGGAATCTAGAAATACCTAAAATTTACTAAAATCTCAAAATTTAGGGATATAAGCCTGAAATATCCTACCTTAGCAACCAAAGGTTATATATAACAGCATTGCTTCCAATATTTTACCTCACATCCTTGTACCTTAAATAATATCTCACAACTTTGGCTCTGCTGTCCATTAAGATGTTAATAACTATCATGTAAGGGACCTTTTATATTCTAGAACATTAATCTTCAGAAATTTTAGAATAATAATAATAATAATCTTTTTGGCAAATATTTCGCATTTCAGCCCATTTTTAATTACATGACTTACTGACAAACAGAAAAAAAGAAAATTTCAGTATGTTGCTCAAACCTAGGGCTTCATTTATACTAGGCAAGCAATCTATCACTGAGCTATATACCCATCCCTAGAAATTTCCAATAGTTATAGCCAATTCTTTCTTTTTAGTTGTAGTTGGACACAATACCTTTATTTTGTTTATTTTTTTATGTGGTGCCAGGATCAAACCCCGTGCCTTATACATGCTAGGCAAGCGCTCTACCACTGAACCACAACCCTGGCCCTATAGCCAATTCTTTATCACTTTTCTTTTTTTTTGCAAGTCAAAACTGTAATAAGATTTTATCTCACACCAGTCAGAATGGCAATTATCAAGAACACAAATAATTATAAATGTTGGTGTGGATCTGAGGAAAAAGGTACACTCATACATGGGTTAATGGGACTGCAAATTAGTACAACTCCTCTGGAAAGCAATATAGAGATTCCTTGAAAGACAAGAAATGGAATCACCATACTAGCAAACCAGCTATCCCACTCCCATTTATCTAACAGAACTAAAATCAGCGGACTATCGTGATACAGGTACATCAATATTTTTAGCAGCATAATTCGCCATCACCAAGTTGTGGAATCAGTCCAGATGCCCATCAGTAGATGAGCGGATTAAGAAAATGTGATATATATACACGATGAAATTTTACTCAGCCATAAAGAAGAATGAAATTGTGAAATCTGATGGTAAATGGATGGAAATGGAGAACGACATGTTAGGTGAAATAAACCAGATTGAGAAAATTTATCACTTTTCTGCTGTTTTTTTGTTTTTGTTTTGAGTACTAGGGTTTCAACCCAGGTTTCAACTTCCGGTGCTTCTGGGATTACAGATGTGTGCCACCATGCCCAGTTATTCTGTTGCTTTTATACTGACAAAAATCCTTTTCCATACTGAAATCCAACATTTATACATACTCTTTAGACTTTAAAAAAATGAACTTGTCACCAATCTGAATTCAAGAGGAATCCAAAACTGTGATGTAAGGATCTGTCTTTATTCTACAGTTTTTTTCTACATTTTGAAGACTAGTCCCAGTATTTTACATATTTGTGGTACCACTTAATTGGATCCTCTATCAATCTTATTTTGAAACTAGAAAAGTTACAGATTCTCAAACATTTACTATGTCAAATTAATTATTTTAAGGATTCCACAAAGAATCATACCATGTAAAAAACAATTATTTCTAGTAGTATTGCACATTCTATTGTATTATGCATAACAGCTGATGGTTTTAGATTCTAATATGCTTAAGAAGCATCCTTCTAGATTTAAAATTTTTTAAAAAACAGAAATGTATATTAAATTTTAAAAGCCAGTCTTTTAAATTTGGTCTTATAAGTTATTCTTTGAATATATGCTATATTCATATGGCTTAAAATTGAAAGGATATAAGAAAGGACAGAGTAAAAATTGTATCTAATGTTTATCATCCTTCCAGAAACATTTTAATATTGTATACATATTCATGTAAGGAAAAAACACTATTTCAAAGTAGTATTTTATACTATATATTGTTCTGAATCTTAATTTTTATTTATAATCTGGAGAACACATCCCTCATTATTATTCAAACACAACCTTCATTTTTTAAAGATTTGCACAGTATTCTATCATAGACTTTCCATAATTTATTCATCCAAACCCCAGTGAACAGCATTAGCATTGATTCCAATTTCCTGCTATTACAAACTAAAATACTCTTTTATACATGTAAGTACATCTGCACCAAAATTCTAACAAATGTAACTGCTTGATCAAATTGCAGGTCCAGTTATAACTTTGACAGGCTAAATTCCTTTTTTTGTTTTGTTTTGTTTTAGTTCTTGGTGGACACAACATCTTTGTTTGTATATGGCGCTGGGGATCGAACCCAGGCCTCACGCATGCCAGGCGGGCGCGCTACCGCTTGAGCCATATCCCCAGCCCCAAATTCCTATTTTATTCTTACCAAAGTTGGAATACTTGTTATGAAAAAAATCACTATATTCTTAATGCCCCTAGATGTCACTATAACTCACCAAATAAAACATTACCAAAAAATCATGAATCAAGTAGGCCTTCCATAAAATTATAGCATTTATATAAAGAAACACATTTTTATTGGGGGGGGAGGGACCTTTAACACACATCCTGTTAGTCAACTAATCATACCCAGTGTCTGAAGTTTGTCCCATATCCTATGAGCAAATTCTGTTCTCTCTGCAAGATTCAATTCAGGCAAGAGAGAACCACAGCTGCGCAACAGAAGCAAGGCTTGATTACCACCTGGGCTACCTATGGAAGAAAAATTGACAATGTTTAATAGTGCCAACATAATGTAGATAAATATCAAAATTTAAACTGAAATTTATAAATGTTTGGCTCAAAGATAATATTGTAGTACCCAAATATTAGAAAAAGCATATCCTAATCCACAATGCTACTAAAAATCACAAGTTAAAATTTTTTAATATTAGTCCACTTTAAGAAATGTAAAAAACTTATACATTTAAGAAATCTATAAAATCTATGTAATGTGTGACTCTAAAAACACAGAACCTAAGGTTACATTTCTCAGTATCTTATGATAATGTTACAACGCTCAAGAATATTAGAATATTGAACCCAATTAAAACTCAAGAATATCCAATAGTTTTATAATTGGTTAACAATAATATAAATTTCCTCCTCCCTATGTATAGAATCTTTATCTACATGTACCTGAACGCTGACTTTAAGACAAAAGACAAAAATAAACCACCTATTTTATGATTCCATTTATATGAAATATCCAGAAGAGACAAAACTACAGAGACAGAAAATAGATTAATGGTTAACTAGGGTCGGAAGGGATTGTGGGGTGGGTGGGGACTGATGGTAAGGACTGCAGGGGTTTCTTTTAAGGGTGACAAAAATGTTCTAAAAATGACTGTAGTGGCAGTTGAACAATTCTGAATAATTTAGAAGTAACAATGATGGTTTTTTAATACAGATGAATGTAGTTATAATTAATACTTCTCATCATAAGAGTTTATAGTTAAACTTTTTTTAAAATTTAATTTTATTTATTTTTGTATGTGGTGCTGAGGATCGAACCCAGTGCCTCACACATGCAAGGCAAGCGCTCTGCCTTTGAGCCACAATCCCAGCCCTATTCATTTATTTTTATGTGGCACTGAGTATTGAACCCAGGGTCTCATACATGCTAGACAAGTGCTTTACCCTGAGTCACAACCCCGCCCCAAAGGCTCAACTTTCTAAGCAGAAAAAATCTGAAATACCTGAACGACATGTGCTATCAAAGACTTTTTGCAAAAGTCCCTTTGGAATGCGGCCAGTTCTTCGGACAGAATTATCCAGTCTCATTAGAGCCCAATCAAATTGATTAGCATTCCTTCTAGAAGAAGAAGTAGGCTCCTCTTGAAGATCATTCTTTTTTTCAGCAACAATGGCATAAAGCCTCACTTGGCTTAGTAGTTTTCTAGAAAATGAAACATAATTAGGAATAAACTAAGTCAACTGCTATCTATATAGATCATCTTTCTGAGCAAAATTTACATAAAGTTACTAATTAGTTAATAAATACCTTAAATCACATAATAATATTCAGAGAAGTATGCATCGATAGGAAAGTTTGACTTTTGTTTTAGATAAAATCTCTCTCTCACACACACACACACACACAAATTATATACATAGAGTATCTTCTGAGCAATGGAGAGTACCTTGATAACATTCAACATAAAATCATTTTGGCCAGGCACGGTAGCCCACTCCTATAACCCCAGGGGCTCAGGAGGCTGAGGCAGGACAATCACAAGTTCAAAGCCAGCCTCAGCAAAAGTGAGACTCTAAGCAACTCAGTATGAGATCCTGTCTCTAAATAAAATACAGAATAAGACTGGGGATATGGCTCAGTGGTCGAGTCCCCTGAGTTCAATACCTGATACTCCCCCCAAAATAATAATAATAATTTCAAATAGTTTTAAAAGGTAATAATATGGTGTGTTTTAAATCGTGGTTAAAAAAAGGAAAATGAATTATACTACAAAGTTCTTCTTGCCTCTATAAGTGAGACAATATATCTAAACTATATCCAAATTCTTAAAACTACTTTCAAATGTTTTTGGGGTTATGTATTTAAAATGTAAATAGCAAGCTTATTTTATTTGGAATAAAAAGTTAATTTCTAGGCAGTTTCTTTATAGGATTATTCAGGTCAAAATCCTTTCTCAGCAGTCTAAAGAAATTTGAAACATCAATTTTTATCTGTCAAAAAGTTAGTTGTGTAGTTCCCTAATTATTTGAAACAACTAACCATTAAAAAAATAAACAAAAACTATGCAGGCTGGGGTTGTAGCTCAGTGGTAGAACACTTGCCTCACATGTGTGGGGCCCTGGGTTTGATCCTCAGCACTACATAAATAAATAAAAAGAAAGATATTGTGTCCATTTACAACTAAAATAAATAAATAAATAAATGATTTTTTAAAACTATGCTTCCCATTTTAAACTTCAATAATTTTAGAAAAGTCAGAAGAGAAAGAAAAATGCTTAAAAATTAGCTAAGGTCATAGTAATACACATGTATTTATAAAAAGGAAGCAAACTTTAAACAGTTCAGTATTTTAATAATACAGAGACTAACATGTAACCAAATGATCTAAAATATGAGATCAGAGGTATTTCACTTCATGGCAATATAGTCTGCACTTGATCCACAAATATCAGACTTAAGAAAATAATCCTGGGCTGGGGATGAGGCTCAGGTGGTAGCGCACTCGCCTGGCATGCGTGTGGCCCGGGTTCGATCCTCAGCACCACATACAAAGAAAGATGTTGTGTCTGCCAATAAATAATAAATATTAAAATTCTAAAAAAAAAAAGAAAATAATCCTTATGTATCCCAAAGTCCTGATGTAAACACTTGAGTTTAAAGGCTTTCTCTCATTCAAATATCTACCATTTTAAACTGACAACACCTGTAATTCTTGAAAATGTATACACTTACTCCACAAATATCTTAATTACAGCAGTCAATAAGTATAACCAAGTATTACATACTAAGTATATAATTAATAAGCAAAATGTAAAAATATTTATTAATTCAGAAAATGCCTCCAGGATGATAATCACATTTTTCTAGCATGTGCACATTTCTACCATAGTCAGTGGTAAGTTTAAAAGTAAACTGCAGGGCTGGGGTTGTGGCTCAGTGCAGAGTGCTTGCCTTGCACATGTGAGAAACTGGGTTCGATCCTCAGCACCACATAAAAATAAATAAAGATATACAAAAAAAAAAAACTGCAGGGGTTAGGGGTATAACTCAGTGGTATAGTACATTTGCTTTGCATACATGAGGCCCTGGGTTTGATCACCAGCACCCAAGAAAAATAAAGCTATTGCTTTCCTATCCTATGCTATTAACCTAGAAAACGAGCCCCAAATGGAACGATTATGTAGGTGAAGTTACACTAAAGAAAACTATACCAGAGGTTCCATCGTAAGATGATAGAATTCCACTTATACAAATAAATAAATCGGAAAACAATGGGAAAAACTAGGACTTCAACCAAAAAGACTACCTTTTCTTTTCCTTTATTCTTCCTTTTTTTTCCTAGCAGTTCTGGGAGTTGCCTGCCCATGCTAGGCAAGCACTCCAGCAAGCTACATCCCCAGCTCACAATGTCTTATCTTTATAAACTTAATGATCAGCACATTGTAGATAATTAACAGATAAATGTCTATTAAATGAGCTGAATTAACTAAGTGTGGCACTACCAACATACCATATAACATATTTATTTGTCCCTTCCTTCCCAAAGGTTTCCTTGGCCACTTATTTGTTCCTGTATCAAGTGTTACTGAACTATGCCCTTATTGGTGTCAAGCAAACAGTAACAATTATTTTAAATCCCCCATAACAATGTGTCAAGTTCAGGCAAGAGTGAAAAGCTAATTAACACAGAAATTTCAAAATGGCAGCGAAGTACTCTTGCCAGTTTTTCACACAACTCAAATCTGATAACTGGTAAAGGCACAAACAAGATTCAGGGATAAAATAGATGTGTAAAAACCAGTAAATCATTATGAACACTCTCAAGCTCATTTTCCTTACTAAAAAGTCAAGAGAATTATACATTTAAACAAAGAATTCTCCAGTGCTTTCTACATTAATTATACAGCCCAGAATTCATTGACTCAGTCATTTAGTAGCACTGGGGATTGAACCCAGGCCATTGAGCATACTAAGCAAGTGCTTGACCATTGTAATACACCTTGAGGGAAATAAGAACTTCACTGACCTAAGCAACGGGTATATTGTAATGGAAGGAAAGAAACAGGGGTTAATAAAAGTGGCTCCACACTAAGGGCATGCTTAAATTGGAGCACACTGTCTCCAGATTCTAACAACCAAAACTGATGTAACTACATAAGAGAAAATTATTTTATTATCTCAACCAACTATCATAGTAGTTCATTTACATTTTTTAGTTAAACACCTCAGGTTCCCTCCTGAAACTCTGGCACTCACCACTAATATTCAGGTAACACATGATTTCCTCTGGTAACATCTGGCATTTTAAATGGCTATTTTTCTGGGGGCCTGTTTGTTTTACAAAAATGATAGTGGTGGTAATGGTTTTATTTTTTGCAGTATGGTGATTAATTAAACCCATGGCCTTGCACATTCTAGGCAAGCATTCTACCACTGAGGCACATTATCAACCCAGTGGTTTTTACTTTTACTCTTTAATACCAACTTGATATGCAAGTGTCCATATTTCAAATATATATTTCATATATATTTATATGTAGATATGGACCAGATTATTATAGAGACTTCCACAGAATTCCCATTTTAAGCCTATACCATTTCTTAAAAGCAATATATGGTTTACATAAAAACTGTGCAAAAAGTACAGTTCCCATATTCCTTCTTTCCTTACCAGTTTCCCCTCTAATGTCTAATGTTAGTGTCCTATATTTGTTACAAACAACCAACTAATATTGGTACATTATTATTAACCAAGGTCCATAGCTTACACTAGGGTTCATTGTGTACAAATCCATAGGGTGAAAAATACATGTATCCATCATTATGCCATACACGATATTTCACTGCCCTAATGACCTGTGCTCCACCTAGTCTTGCCTTCCACCTTCCTTCTGAACCCATGGCAAGAACTGATTTTCTCATGTGTCTGTAGCTTTGTCTTTTCCAGGCTGTCATACAGTTACAAAATAAAGTACACAGCCTTTTCATACTGGCTCTTTTCTAGTAGTGTTCACTTACTGTTCCTACATCTTTTCATGGTATCAAAGCTCATTTCTTTTTATTGTTGCCTCATATTACACTATGTGGATATATACAATTTGTACCTCCAACTACTGAAAGACCTCTTGGTTGCTTCCAACTTTTGGCAATTACAAATAAAGCTAAATAAACATCTGTGTGCTGGTTTCCATGAGGACATAAATTTTTAACTCATTTGGATAAACTAATCTGGATAAACCTATGTTTCTAAGTTTGTAAGAAACTGCCAGACTACCTGCCCTAATAGTTGTGCCACTCTGTATTCCTACCAGCAATGTACAAAAAGAGTTCCTGTTTTTCTATATCCTCACCAGCATTTGATATTTTCAGAATTTTGGATTTTAATCATAATAGGTATAGCATCTCTATCTCATCGTCATTTTGATTTACAACTCTCTATGACACATTGTGTTGAGCATTTTCATATGATTATTTGATACCCCTGTGTCTTCTATAATGATGCATCTATTCAGATTTTCTGGCTGTTTTGTCTGTTTCCCTTGTGGTGCGAGGATTCAAACCTAGGGTCTCACATATGCTAGGCAATCACTCTACCACTGAGCCATATCTCCAGTTCCTCTGCCCATTTTTTTAATTGGGTCATAAGTTTTCTTATTGAATTTTTAGATTTCTTTGTATGTTTTTATACTGTTTATTTATTAAATAAAATTTTTAGTAAAGCATTAGCATTTCTTCAATATATACCAAATTAACCATACCAGTTCATAAGACACTGCCCTCCTTGTTTTTCTCTTCTTCACTGACATTATGAGCCATTTTAGTGTCACTCAGGAGTTTAAAAGAAATACAGATATTTTTTCATGTGTTTAATACATGCTAGATACTAGAAAATTTTTACTATAACCCTCATTTTACAGATGAGAAAACTGAAGCAACTTGCCCAAAAAGTCACAGTAATATCTCACTAATAACAGGATGACAGGGCCAGGATCTGTTCTTGGGCAGTCTTCATTCTGAAATGAGCCCAATGTGGTAGAGCATTAAGGAAACTAATCTGGCTGCAAAGAAGAGTTCACACTGGAGAGTAATAAAACTTAAACCTACTCAGGGAAGGTAAGAATAGATCATGGAAAGCCTACAATGGCCAACAAGTAAGAATCTGGATTTTATGGCATGTTTGTAAAATATAAGACTTATTTCCA